TTTTAAATTCTGCATCACCAGATTTCATTTTCATTTGTGACAATTTCTCTAAACTTTATCACAGTACTAAGATAGTATACTATTCTTAACCTACAAACATAAAACTTTCCTTAATGTCGAAGTGATTCTTATGCATATCACCACCAGAGTTCATGTCACATATACAAAAATATATTCCAGCCAATTTTCAACTTTTTATTCACTGTTCTAGAAACATATTTGACTCAACTTTGTTAATTTGCCTCACTGTTCTAGAAACATATTTGACTCAACTTTGTTAATTTGCCTCTGATCTAAATAACAATGTGATGAGTTACATCCGGGAAATTTACGCGCTGAGCGCTATATGGGGAGGCTGCAGACCTGGAGCCGGCAGATATACGCCCCTGGCAGTTTTGCGCCCCTGACAGTTTTACGCCCCTGTTGTTCCTGATGCGTCCAGTAGGGGGATACACTGCGAAATAACATAATTAAATCGACGAGTGCACATTAATAACTCGTCCATAGACTTGACAATTTTTTAGTTTTTCGTTCATTTAAATATAAACGCTACAGTGTAGATCTGCACGGATTAAAATGTCTGTAGATATTCAGTTTGGCTTCACTCTCTTCACTCAGCCTACAAAAGACTATGAGTTTTTGTGAATTGAAAAATTAAAAATACACTTAGTTGGATCAATTATGACAAGTATATGACCTGCTGCAGTTATAGGCCTATTCACAGGTTTTTATGGGAGACTGAGTGAAATATATTATGAATTTATATAAAATTACATTTAGATATTAACCAAATTTAGCCCATTAGACAGTACCATGTAATCATATGGATCCTCGACTAAATATCTGCTGTAGCTACTATTCTCTATTGGTCGTCATACAGCTACAAAACAGTGTCCTAGCATTTTATGAAGACAAACACAATTTATCCCTTTTCTAAAATTCCAAGGGCCATTTAAAAGAAAGACACAATATTGTTGTTCACAATTTTTTTTTTATTAACACCATTTATTATTTATGATGACTCCCCTATCGTTTGCCCCTCTTCTTTAACTATTTTTTAAAAGGACATACATGGTGATTTTATCGTGTGTGTGTGTGTGTGTGTGTGTAATTGATGTCAGGTGAGTGTGGATTGCATCAATTTGCTCCTGATCTTCAAAGTACAACGGCACAAGCACTTGTTGGTCGAACAATAGTGGAAAAAGTGTCAAGCCACTTTGATTTCCACTTTGATTTCTTTTGGCCACCGATGATGGACTGTGCAGAGAAAATTGAAAATGACAGTAAATTTGGTAAAGACAGAGTATGATAAAACCCACATTAAGTGCACGAACCCTACATTTTAGTCCAGACCAGTAAGCTATTTTAAGAAAAAAATGTATATTAAGATATAAATTATATAATTAGATCATTTCATAAGAAACAACTCAAACCAGAATTTACATTCAAACCAATATGGGAAAAGTTTTTAATGTGGGTTTTATTGTGTGATGTTGGAAATAATCAAAATATTTGAGTGAGTGTGCAGTAACTCTTTACTTGGAGAGAGAGATTTACATCCATGTATACATATATGCCTAATATAAATGTGTCTTTTGTGTGTTCACACCATAGACTGTAAAAAAACAAGTTCATATATTTCCAATATACTATAATGTTGCCCCAGAAACCATGTGGAGTAGGCTATGTTTTAATGCAAGGAGTTAACAGGGTCTTACAAGAAGAGGCCATCTTACGCAAGCTAAAGACTGCAGGCAACAAACGAAAATTAAAAAGAAATTGAATTTTAAAGTGAGTAGAGAAGACTAGGGTTTCTTAAAGGTTTCTAAAACAAATAATATAATTGAGTCTGTTATAAAGAACCTTTAATTTTTTATATTGACAAAATATAAAATCGGTCGGTAACACTTTATTTTAAGGTGCTTGTAATAAGCAGTAATTAACAGTTAATAAGACACTTATAAGACCTTATAAGATGCATATAAGATGCATATTATCATTAACTAATGATAATAAATAAATTAAATTAAAAAATACATTTCTCAAGTATCAATACATTGCACTTTTAGAACAGCCGAACAAACATAAATGGTAACACAAACTCCCAGGCCCCTAAAAATTGACCTTCCCAAGAGGGAGTAGTTTCCCTGATCTCTTCAGGGCCTGGACCTTTAATTAACCCTTATATGAAGTAGTTAATGCTTATATGCATCTTATAAGGTCTTATAAGTGTCTTATAAGGTCTTATAAGTGTCTTATTAACTGTTAATTACTGCTTATTACAAGCACCTTAAAATAAAGTGTTACCAATCGGTCTTTGTCAGACACGTGGGTTTGTTGTGTGTGACGTCACCGCAGGCGCCATTTTTGAGGTATCGCTACTGACTGTGAGCATTGAAGAGATTACAAGAGTAGAGATAACAAGTAAATAACTCGCAAAACTGGAGAAACACAAGAAAACAGAGGAAATGCCGTACCACAATAAACTCGATAAATATGGCAGGTACCGTTATTTGGAGAAATTGTCATCCATTCAGAACATAGATCCATATATGAGCTGACTGCAGTAAATTGGAGTGCTGATCCCGCATTGCTTTCTCATCCTCATACTGGTACATTGTCAACTATCTTGTTTATGGTATAAGCGCATATACCAGTGAACAATTTAAAAACTATAAATCTCTTAAAACCCACGGACATTTTACCAATGGCTGAGTACAGGATTTATTTACATTCCCACCGAAGGACACAGTAGTAACAGCAAAGATAGGTTTGCTGTATTGATGATGATGATAATGTCATGTTAAGGATGGTTTAGTTTTAAAAAATAATGAAAAACACAATTCTCCAACAACAGAATACCCCTGCATCGATACCTTACAAATGGCGGCTACGCCCCATAATGCACTTCGTGTATCACGAGTGTGACGTCACCTGACAAAGACCGATTGTATTGTTTGTGTAGCCTAATTCAATCTCTTTCGATGTCCCCCTTGTTTTTTGTTTTTTTTTCTCTTCTCACTGTTAATGTCTTGTATCCTTTCATTTACAATGCAAAATAAACTAATTAATAATAATTTAAAAAAAGATTATTTAGCATAACTCAATTCGTGTCGCTGTACAGCCTCCCCCTACTGGACGCATCAGGAACAACAGGGGCGTAAAACTGTCAGGGGCGTAAAACTGCCAGGGGCGTATATCTGCCGGCTCCAGGTCTGCAGCCTCCCCCTACTCGCTGAGCGCGACGAAACGAGCTGAGACTTTTTTCACAGACGCCATTTGCTTTGATTCGCGATGCAAGGCATACGATGAGGGAAAACGCATGGATTAAGTGTTTTATCGCATTTATATATGCATTTTATAACGTCTTATTGTTTTATAACAATGTGTATGTGCTGTGCACGGCTAAACCGCTCTCAGGGGGGCATTTCCGTTGACGCGCGATGCAGATCATGGATGGGTTTGCTTTTTAACAGGAAAACGGCGAAAGTAAGTGTTTTATCTAATTTACAATATGTATTTTATAATATATTGATTTATAGCGATATTTAAATGCTTTGCGCGCTTAAACGAGCCGAAACTTTTCTCAAAGGCGACAATCTTCTTTGACTCAATACGGAGCTGACGACGAGGAGGTTTGCTTGTAACGTTAACAGGAAAAACACCGAAAGTAAGTGTTTTTAACCTAATTTACAACATGTATTTCATGGCGTTATATTGTTTTGTAACGATATGTATGTGATGTGCGCGCCTAAACCTTTCTCACAGACTAGGCCCACAGACGACTAGGCCTGCATCTTCTTTGAGTCGTGACCAAGCGGCAACCTCCATGTCTCTCTCTTGAAACCAACACGGAAGTGAATTAAACTGCAATTCATCTAGTGACCACTTGAGGCAGGCTGCAGAAGTGAGTCAAATCTGCGTCTCCCCCATTTTAAAATGCCCAACTTTACAGCAGAAAAAAACATGTTTACAGCCTGGAGCAAAAAGTGGTTTGGGTTTTTATAGCTTATTTTGCCCTTCATGACAACTGTGAGGGGGGTGAATTTTTTTACAACTCATCCGTTTAAATTATATTAAGCCTGCATAATTAAGGGCGTGGCCACTTGAGTGACAGGCGGATTGCGGCCGTTTGTCTGCTGTCTGTTAGCGTCACTCTCAGCAGCTGCTGTACTTGCCATCTCTGCCGTGTTTGTGCTTTTTTCGGGATTATTTCATACAATTTAATACACGCATTATACCTTCTCCCACGCCGTTGGATTCCGTTGTTGTCGTCGAGTATGGAGCATAGACTGGTATGGAGAGAACAACCAGCGCTGTATTTCCAGTTGTTTTCCTCGCATGCATAACGTTAATGAATGTCTGACAATTTCCTTGCTAAAAAAGTCTATATAGAGACCACACTCGTTATGCAGTACTGTTGCTCTCACGGAACAGATGCTTATTTTACTTTTTAGTGTTAAATAAAAAGTACCGTCAGATGAAATCCTGCAGGTGTCAGTGCTTTTTCTCCGTCCATGCAGTAGATGCACCCTTGAATGAGCGCGGATTTCTTGTGCATTTACTTGAACTTCTGAGGTAATATCTTTGGTGTAACCCATTTGAGAAATTGAGAGGCGGCCAAAATCAGATTTTAAAATGGATTGAATAATGCTCTTTACGAACTTGACATGGGATGCCATGCTGACTGACATGTAACTTATGTGCATGAATCACTGTCACACGCAAGCTCAGAGCAATATTGTAAGTTACTGCATGATAATACATTTTTATAGCAGAATAATAATACATCACGATACACAGTCTCACTTTTAGTTATGTCTTTTAACTATTATAATATTTCAAAGGGCAAAAACATGAACTTTAACTATTGACTTTACTTCTTCAAACGAGGCCAGTAGCATATAGCATTAGCACCTCAGCTCCACCCACGGCCCGCCTCTTTGCCCATTTTCTGTAATCCGGTAGTGACGAGAGGTGAGGCGCTGCCAAGATGGCGACGGCCGGTGTCCTGACATTCCATCCTACCCGTCAGATTGTCCTACCAAGGCTTACTGCGCATGCGCACATCAATTTTGCGTCATTTTTGTCACGCTGAACAACACGCCCATAATATTTTACTACTTGCGTGAGAACTTCTTCATCTGAGGTAAGTTTTTCTCTATTTATGTTAATTTTTATTATACAAAGATATATAGCAGTAATGAGAACTGTTTACGGGCACATTCATACAAAGCCAGCTAGCACCATTGATCATATTAGCATTTTTCATGAAAACATTAGGCTAGATATGGGCGGGGCATATGATTTGATTGTTTGGTGTAAAATATAAACACACAATTATGTCAAAATGTCCGTTTTGTCGAGTGTCCTCATAAGATCAGTCTTAAATTAATTAAATAAAGTATCAAATGATCGTAAAGAGTGTGAGGCGTGTGAGATCGCATCTCTCTCAGCAGCGGCAGGTCTTAAAGTGACAGCTGTTTTCATTCATAAAAATACGCCATTAAACAAATATTTAAAATATATACTCTATATTGTTTTTGCATCAATTTGGAGATCAACTGTGAAATTATTACATTATAAAATATAATAAATGTATATATAATGTTTGTAATTACAATTAATCACATAAAATTTTTTGATTAATCTAGTTTTTTTTTCTTGCATTTTTTGACAGCTATGGAAGATAAGTGGGAAGCACTGTATAATCTTCTGTCAGTGGGATCGTACCCATCAGGGTATGATAAGTCCAAAAGGCAGAACATTAGAAGATATGCACTTAAATTCAACCTAAAGGGTATTTATTTTAACTTTACATTTCAATTATGTTTATTTTATTATTCATTTGTTCCCATCTTGATTTTCTTTTCCAACAATGCCAAATGTCCTTTTGCTTCTGTCATAGTCATGTTTTCTCTTTAATGTAGATGGAGAGCTTTTTTATGGAAGCAAAAGAGTGATAAAAACCAAAGAGGAAGCCAGGATGCTCTTTGAAGAATTCCATTCCTCGCCCATTGGTGGACACACTGGGATTGGTAAAACACGTGCTGCCATCTGTGCCAGATTTTACTGGCATGGCATGTCAGTTGACATTGAAAATTGGGTATGTGTTATTTATTCTATATAGTTATTTTAGTTTATATTTATAGAGATATATATCAACTCACAAATATGTATATATATATATATATATATATACAACCATTTCTGAAAGGTATTGGAATGTGATCAATGTCAAAAAGTTGGAAAGCCTTTGACTGCTGTGCAGACCTTACAGTGCATCAAGGTAAATAAGTGCAGTAACATACAGTATACATATACTAAACCTACTTTATACACACTAAACTTACTTTACATTTGGTGGACTTGATAGGTTTCTGCTGTTTGGGAGCTTGTTGGCATTGATTTAACTGGACCATTACCTGAAACTGCAGATGGTAAATACATCCTCACAGCCACAGACTACTTCTCTAAGTGGGTTGAGGCTTTTCCTTTAAAAACCAAGACAGCAGCTGAAGTTGGAAGACATCTCTGTTCCATCATTTATAGGCATGGTTGTCCCCAGAGAATTCTCTCAGATCAGGGAAGGGAATTTGTAAATGATGTAAGTGTATTTAAAATGATCAGTATTAAAGTGATTTAGGTTTAGCCTCAATGGGTCTCATTCATGAAACACGAGCAGAACGAATTTTTGTGTAAATCGTGTGTAAAGTGGTTCTGGCGTAAATTTTCGGATTCATTAAAATGTTCGTATTTTCCAAATGTTAGTTGGTAAGAAAGAAATCTACTCCTGCTCCCAGCCACGCGTAAATAGTGCGTTTAACATCCGAACATTTTGCTCATTAATAACTAAGGCTGCATTTTAATTCCCCTTAATCGGGTACATATTTACACAGCATTTTGAAAAAATATTATATATAGTAATTACTATACGGTTTTTCTTTTTACTTCTGAGACTGTTTGATTAACAGATGAAACTCCATTAACTGCATCTGTAATATGCTGCCAAGCTTGCTTTTCTTTAGGACCCGATACGCCACTATGTAGCCTACGCTTGAAAATAAAATGAGGTGTTTTGAATGAACTTCTGATAATAAAACTTCGATTTCTGCATCTGAGAAATTTTTCTTTTTCATTCGCTTTTGAGAAGACATGTTGAAATCCTTCGTTTGGTGTCATATGATGCCCATATATAGTTGTCAGTCGGATTTAATGGGCGGGATTTATGGTAATTGAGAATGAACGTGCACGCGCGTCCCATTTACGACTGATTGGAATTCATTAACACACACACATTTCACTATCACATCTGACGTTTACGAAGTATTTGTGAATCAGGAGATGAGTTTTCGGGAAGGTCTCTTTACGTGCAAATCACTCTCATATTTACTCGTATATTTACGAATGTTTCATGAATGAAACCCATTGTCTTTGTTTTTAGATTTTCAAGAGTTGTTATATTTTTGCACATACAGTACATATATTCAACTACTGTATGTTTTAAGGAGCTTTTCACCCATTTATTCACAGTGATTTTTTTCCCCTTTATTTTTTAAGCTTAACCACAGGCTTTGTGAAATGTTGTGCATCAAAAGAAGTGTGACAGCAGCTTATCATCCTCAAACTAATGGCCTGGATGAAAAGACCAACGACAACATTAAACGGTAAGTTTTATTATTGTATGTACCTAGGTCAGGAAAAGTTAAGGCACCCCCGCCCCCCATGACATTTTGACCCATCTTCCGCTTCAAGGCACCAAATAAGTGATAAATGTATTCCTAAAAAGGCTTTCATACTCCAAGTTTATAAGCCTTCTAAAAAACAAAAAACTTTCCCCCTTATGTGTCACTTTAGAGCCCTCAAGAAATTGGTTAACGACCAGCAGAATGACTGGGATGTCTATCTGGATGCCACCTTGTTTTCTTTAAGATCAAAGGTCCACACCACCACAAAACACTCCCCTTTTCTTTTAATGTATGGGAGAGAGGCAGTGTTCCCTGCAGAGATTCCTGTTGAAATGCCAGTGAGTGTGCTTATGGAGTCATTTCAGCAATTTTGTCATACTAGCCTATGTCAGAAGAATTGTGCTTAAAGTAAATTTAGCCTTGAAATAATTTCCAATGGGCACTGTAGTAGAAGATGCAAAACTTTTTTTCTTTTTACAAAACTAATCATACAGTAAATATAGTTTTTATTATTGGTACCCTGACTTGATTAACTGTATTCAATTTTAACATCTGTTATAAAACCTTTGATCTTAAACTGGTAATGATCATATTTTTTGGACTTTGTTCCACAACAGACAATAAGGGTCACTAATATTCCTAACAGTTTGTTATGAATAGTAAACAACCATGTTTTTAGCAAAGGGCCTCTTCTCATGCTACCATGGGCTTTTCATAATATACATGCACATGTGAAAATTTAAATAGTTCACAAATGAATTTATATTGCTTAAATTATATTGCCTTGTTTTTTAGCTTTCCACCATCAGTCTCCCTGTGGAATCAAGTTTTAGTGATTATGTAGTTTCCGATAAAAAAAAGAGAGATGAGGCCAAAAAACAGGCAGAAGAAAACATTGGTAAATCACAGGAGAAACAGAAGGAAGCATATGCTAAAAAGGTCCAGAAGAAGTACAAAGACTTGATTTACAATTTTGGTGATGAGGTTCTTCTGATGAATATGAGGAAGCGTGGAAGAAAAGGAGGAAGGATTGAACCTGACTTCTCAGGACCCTACATCATTGAGAGACTCAGTGGCAAACTTGTCACATTAAACAAACCTGGAGGGATTACTTTAAAAACTAAATATAGCATTGGTCACATTAAACCATACAGAAGAAGCCAAACTGGAAAAGTGCCTGATGACTGTTCTGTTATCTCAATCAGTGGGTCTACAGAGAGTAACAGTTCTTGCAAGATGCCTCCTTGCACTGTTGCACCACTCAGCACTCCGCATTCTGTGACCAAGGTAAATGATTCTGAGAAGCAGGAGTGGTAAAAGTACTCAACAGTTATACTCGAGTAAAAGTATATATACCTAAATAAAAAATTACTCCAGTAAAAGTAGCAAGTCCTCCATTCAAACATCACTTGAGTAAAAGTACAAAAGTATCCGATTTAAAACGTACTTAAGTACCGAAAGTACAAAGTAAATATTCAAATTAACTGTAAATATCAATAGGCAGATCAATAGTTTTGGTAGTGATATGCAATGTTTTATTTGAACAGATGATACGATTAGATACTGCAATTAACAATTTGTTAGCTAGCTGTTTACAAGGCACATTTTAATATGAAATCACCTGGCTAACAATAGTAACATTAAAGTAACACCAGGTTACTTTTGCTCTCGGGGTGGGGTCCCCCTACAGTTGGGAAACAGTATTGTCCTCTAGACCTCTACTACTGTCGTAAACTCTGTCATCCTACATGCACGTGCAATTGTTGACAACCACGATAGCCCTGAACACTGTAGGAGGAGGTCACATGCAGGTGTTCTGCTTGCGTCTTGTCTGAAATGTCTTCATCCCAGGTACAGTGGCATATATTTCAGCATGTCATATGAATATAATTTCATGGGTTTTATTTTTTTCTAACGACAAATGATCGCGATGATCACGTTTACAAGCCAGCGTCATTATAGTAGCCTAGTCTATTGGTTACCGTTTTACTGGATCTATATGATACTTCAATGCAATGTTTGAGTGGTAGATAATAACCATATATCGTCAATATTATAATATCAAGCTACCATAAATGAATCTGCAAATTTTACAAATCGATTTGCATTATAGCTTGAGGCAAGACAAATAAACAAATATCACTGACATGTTAGGTATCCTAAAATATGATTTTGTACATCTTATATATTTACTTGCAAGAATGTAGCCCCTACCAAACTTGTACAAGCCGTTTAGACATAGGCTTTCATTTGACTTTTTGTTTTGTTTTTTGCCAAGTCTGCATCGGTCGGGCACCCCTCCTCCTCCTTCAGCTCACGCCAGCGAGAAAATGCTGGCCCAATTCTGTTCTGCCTTTAACGCGATCACTTTCTCTTTTTCTCTTTTTGCTTTGCTCCGATAAAACCTTTGCTTTCTTGTTTTTCTGTGCTGCTTCGGCCATGACTATAACATTTGGCTCGCACGTCCGATTTTAAGGAAGTGGGGGTGGTGGTGGAAGTGACGTATATGCCGTAAAGCAGTCGAATTTTGTAGTTCTCTTTGTTCGCCGGTTACTACCCGAAACCCGAAGTTTAAAAGTACGATTAAAAACGCTACAGACCCCGTCAGGCTATGGCAGACGTGTCATTCAACCTATTGTAAGTCGATGTACCATCACAAGAGACTTGGAAATATATTATGAAGGTTGAAAAGTTACCTGGTGTTACTTTAAAGCAACACTAAAGAACTTTTCCTCTGCGGTCCCCCTACAGGTTAGAAGCGGCATTATCCGTTACCGCTGTCATAAATAATTTAGCCTACCGCAGTCTACTGTCGCACGCATGCTCGCTGTTTATCCACTGTTTATCCAGCACCGGCTTTAGAGTGAACGTTGTCCAATTGTAACGCTTGCCGTAAAGCAAGTCAAATTTGTAGTTTTCTTATGTCTCATTCGAACTACAGAAACGCGACCCGATCTGGCAAACTTACATAGTGTCTTCTAGCAGATATAGGACCACAAAGCGAAGGCAGAAGTGCCCTTCAGCCTGTTACGACTTGATGAACCGCTGAAACGATTTTGGAAACATTATTTTAAGGTAAAAAATCTTCTTTAGTGTTGCTTTAACGTCAACTCACCTCAATATGTTTTCTCAGATTTGAGGGTGAAGTTTTGAATGCTGAAATTTAATTCACCCGTGGCAGGCAAAGAAGACATTTCAGCCGATATTAATCTCCCTTGACTTCAGTGAATTCGAACATATCATTGATATATGGCCATGAGTGATCCCTGTCGGAAATCTTGGGATCATTGCTGGCAGCGAGAGCTGCACCTTCACCGGTTTCTGCAGTCAATGGCGAACTGACTGCTATGTGAGCGTATGCTAGCAAAGAGCTTGCGCGTTCTTTTTTTCAAAAGAAAAACAAGTTTTTCATTGGTTTGGAAAGCCAGTGTAATAAATACTTGGAGCGGTCATGGGGAAATGTATTGGAGTAAAAAGTAAACTTTGTCTTTAAAATTGTAGTGGAGTAAAAGTGAAAGTAGATGCAAATAAAACATACTCAAGTAAAGTACAGATCCCCGAAAAAAATACTTAAGTAAAGTAACAAAGTATTTTTACTTCATTACTTACCACCACTGCTGAGAAGCTCCAAGATTCAGCGTTACAAAGACCTTCTGTTATTCAAGTTGCTCCTAAAATGCTTGACCAAACAAATGGGTACATCAAGGAGCTAAAATTAACCCCAACAGATGAAGAGCCAGCAATAA